ACTATTCAAAGTTCAGTAAAATAATCTAATAAAAAATCGTACATCAATTAAAGAGAAAATTTCAATTTTCTTCAAGACTGTGACAGATCTACCCATAGAAAACATGTTTCAGTGAGTTTAGAGATGTGTTGAATTTTTCTAATTTCCGAGAACAAAAGTATCCTCGCTCAAAAGCATTTTTCGCACTTTAAAATGAGACCAAGTGGTTTTTCATCGTTATTGGTTCAGTTATGCCCTTCACTGTGTTAATGTACAATACTTATTGCTTTCAGCAAATGTATGGGTATGGGCAGAATAGCGGAAGTACTTTGCGAACAGAATCGATGCCTGGAAGAGCCAGAACTAATAGATGAAATCAACTCGAACCGTTTTACGTCGGGCTGGAGGGCGCGAAATTACTCCGAATTTTGGGGTAGAACGTTAAAAGAAGGCGTGGAGCTACGCTTGGGCACCTTAAATCCATCACAATCGGTAAGAAGCGTAAATCATTTCAACGTTCACTTACTTTACTTCGACAATTTCGAGTCAAACCTTCTGATTAATCGTCGATCGGGCACGCTTCAAGGTTTACAAAATGAATTCCGTGCGACGGATCTACGATCCGGAGACCCTGCCACGCGAGTTCGATGCCAGGTCTCGTTGGCCTCGTGAGATTTCCGACGTGACCGATCAAGGTTGGTGCGGCTCATCCTGGGCGATTTCTACTGCACGTGTCGCTTCAGACAGATTTGCCGTGATGAGCAAAGGAACCGATAGTGTTCTTCTCAGCGCGCAACATTTACTGTCGTGCAACAACAGAGGACAACAAGGGTGCAGTGGTGGCTACTTGGACAGAGCCTGGCTGTACATGCGAAAATTTGGGTAATTTTTTATTAAATCTGTTCCTACATTTTCGTGCTTTCCGCTTTGCACCACTCTTTTATACATGTATAATTATATCTACTATATCTTGATGAATGTATTCGTAATCACTTTATGGACATATTACTTGCATCGTACAAAACATTTGGATTTTCAAATTTCATTCAGCACTGTTATTTGTTACGATTAAAATTTTTAACGATTCTGAAAATATATAAATAAGTTGCGAAATACTTATTGTAAATATATATCTCATGAAGATCTTTAACATTTGAAATACTATATATTGATTTTTTATGAGATGTATATTTGCAATAAATGTCACATAATGCTTATTATTTTCAAGTTCCTTTCAAATTTTTACCAATGTAATAATGTCAATAATGTTTTATAGAACATATGTACATGCAAGAATACATTTTGCAAGCTACTACACATATTAATATTCAGTTCAATTAGAATAACAATCGATGACTATAACTACTCGGTAATTAATTTTTACCTTTCTGTTTTTCTTTTCAGCCTGGTCGACGAAGATTGCTATCCATGGAGAGGCATGAACGAGCAATGCAAACTGCGAAAGAAAACAAATTTGAAGACAGCTGGATGTCGTCCTTCGACAAATCCGCTTCGGACAAAATTATACAAAGTTGGGCCAGCTTATCGGCTGGGCAACGAGACCGACATCATGTACGACATTTTAACATCGGGACCAGTGCAAGGTAAATTTTCTTTTTCTTTTTTCTTTTTTTACCATCTTTACATCTTTTTCTTTAGTCGCAAACATTTAACTGCGAGATCAGTGAAATTTAACAATTACCATACTTTCAGCCACCATGAAAGTCTACCAAGACTTTTTCTCTTATGAATCGGGAATATATCAACATACGCCATCCACTGAATCTTATCAATTCGGTTATCATTCAGTTAGGATTATCGGATGGGGAGAAGATACATCTACATATCGCTATCGTGGCTCAGCGACCAAATATTGGGTAATGCTTCTCTGAAGATCTTCTATTTATGTCGAAATAATTCACGATTGTATATTAATAAGTAATATTAATGAATGGAATTTAATAATAATGTAATATAATTAATATATAGGGTAAGCTAGTAAGACCTTAAATATCTCTATTATTTTTGGGGATATGAAAAAGCCAAGAAAAGTTATTCAGTACAGAGAGGACTATAATACTATAGCAATGATCTTTTTGTAGGTAAAGGAGTTTCAGAGATTTCAAAGTTATCTCCTTCTAAATGAGATCGTATATTTTTAAATTCATCAATCAAAAAATATCTTCTATATAATATATAATATATAAATATATAATTAACCTATGTAAACTAAGTATAAAAAAACTATTAGTTTAGAAGATATTTAACATATGAAAATTTAACATATGAAGGATGAGGAAAGACAGGAGTAATATCCTTGTGTTAATATTTTCCTAAGTTACACGATTATTATAGAATTAAAGTTAATTCAAATCAGTAATTATTAGACATATTTACTATCTAGTAAATATAATTATACAATATATATAAAAATAATATATAATTAATATATAACAATAAATTTAGTAATAATAGTAATAATGAATGGAATTTTTTCTTTCAGCTGGTAGCTAACTCTTGGGGTCATCAATGGGGTGAGGATGGCTTCTTTCGTATTCAAAGAGGAACCAACGAGTGTGATATCGAGTCGTTCGTGGTAGCAGTGTGGGCGAAAACCGTCTAGGAGAAAGTACAAGAAATAGAATATTCGATTCGAATAACTTTTACAAACGCTGCATTTACTCATCGGATCGGACACATCCGATTTCGCGATATTGCGTTGCGTCACGTTGTTGCGTGTCATTTCTATCAATATGAAGGATCGATTCACGTCTTCGTTACTCTCTTTACATAATTACATATATTTCACATTCACGACAAATTTCATTTAACGTGTTTTTATTAACGTTTCAATTAATGTTCGCACATGGTTCAAAAAAAAAAAAA